GAGGCGGCGGCAGGCAGAAGCAGATTCCAGGTGGGAACGGCGGCAGTGGGAATACAGAGGTGTTTGTTAACTGGCTGGGCACGGGTGGGCACGCAAGAGCAGCGGTGAGGGATGTGGTACCTGCACACACACTCCCCCCAAAGCGGTGCCTCATGTGTCCCTCCGTGCCCGGGGCATCCCAGATCCTCTCCCTGCCATCACCTCCTGCCTGCCCCGTGCCAACGGGGAGAGCCAGCGGGTCACCGGGGTGAGGCCAGGCTGGTGACTCCATGCAGGCACAGCTCTCTGCCTTGTCTGCCCCTCTGTGATCCTCAGCGGTCCCGTGGAGGGGTCACAGGGATTCCTGGGCCCCACAGCACAAGGAAATCACAGAATCGTGGAATATCCCGAGCTGGAAGGGACCCACAAGGATCACTGAGGTCCAGCTCCTGGCCCTGCACAGCACACCCCAACAATCCCACACGTGCCTGCACCACACCATTCCCCACACAGCAGGCACTGGGAACCTTCCCAACCAACAGAGCACCCTTGGAAGGTGACACAACACCTGCCCTGCTTTAGGACGGGCTCAGTGCAGCCTCTCCAGCCTAACCCTGAGCTTTGCTCCGTGTGCACCCACACGTGTCGCAGCCGCAGCCACAAATCCAGCCCGCAGCTCCTATTTTCCCAGGTTCCAGAGGTGCAGCGGGAGCCAACAACAGGAAAAATTGCAGCTACACCCACTTGCCAGCCCATTCACCCAGCGAGAGCACCCCAGCACTGCTGGGAACCAACGGCTCCAAACGGGAAAGGAGATTTATTCCCCCAGTGCTGACTGTTAATAAAGGAGCAGGTTGATGTCAGAGCAGCTCGGGGTATTCCCCCCCCCTTTCCTTTTCCCAGCTATTCAGCTGGATTCCAGCAGAAAGCAATTTGGATGGCTTCAGGGAGCCCACACTGTGATTTAATTAGGAGAAACATCTGCCAGGCTCCAACTGCAGTTCATTAGGGAAGTGTTTATGCAAAATGGGGAAACGAAGGACGACGCTTCGTCACCCACAGCACCTGGCCCTCGCTGCATCCCACGGGATGCTCATCATGGAGCCCGTGGGATGCCAATCATGGATCAAATGGGATGCTCATCATGGACCCCGTGCTCATCACCAGCGCCGTGCTCAGCCCCAAAACCTGCCAGGGCAGAGGACACCACCCTACCCAGGGTCTAATTTCGGATGGGACCAGGCAGCACTGCCTGGCACCACCTCCCTTCCTGCTGCCAGCTCCTCCCTCAGCTCATCCCTGCTTGCCTGCAATTCCCAAACCCCTCCAAGTGACAGGGAGGAAAGGAGGTTGGTTTTCCACCTTGGCTCTGCCTGGAGGTAGAGTCACAGAGAGGGAGCAGGTAGAGGTGGAGGAAGAGACATCAGAGTGAGTCCAGGGCAGAGCACGGCAAGAGGGATAACAGAAAATAAACCTGCGGGATGCCGGGGGGCAGCTGCGGCTTGGGGAGCAGCGGTGGCTTGGTCTTGCTTGGGGATGGGCTCCTGGGAGCATCATCTCTGGCCTGGCTGAGGTCCAGCACAGTCCCATCATCACAGCTCCTCTGGCTGAGGTCCCCCAGACCCTTCCTGGTCTCCTTGCCGGCCTCCTTGGGTCCCGCCGGTCCCAGCAGGTTCTTAGGGAACACCGACTCCACCGAGGGGTGGCTGCTGATCTCACTGATGGTCATCTCCAGCTCTCGGATCGTCTCTTCCAGGCTATCCAGTCTCTGGTACGTGTCTTCATAAAGCTCCTTGCTGCCCGGAGTCGCGGGGCGGCGAGGGGACACCGGCCCTTGGCAGAGCCCCTCCGGCACCTTCCTCCCCATTCCGGTGTCCCCCCCGGCAGCTGGAGCCCCTCCAGCCCATCCCGGAGCCGCTGTGCCATGACTTGGCCTCGGGCACACCGTGACCTGCTCCGGGGGATGCTCAGCCTGGGATGGTCCCTTTCCCTGCGGGGCCGGATCCCTGCCCGGGAAAGCTCCGGGATTTGGCACTGGGCAGGCTGGAGCTGGTTTGGAAGCCCCAGCAGAATCTCCAGGAGGGAGTGGTGCCTCCTGCACGCTCTGCCTGGCTCCTCCTTGGGGGTTCCCATCACTGGGAATTTGGGGGATGATGCCGCCGGTGGAGGGAAGTGCAGCCCCTCCAACTCCGGCACCCCCCTGGGGCTGAGGGGGCTGTGCAGCCACGGGACCTTGGTGACAAGTCTTGCTGCTGCCTCCTCTCCTGCTGGCAGCGTTCAGAGCCACGTCCCCTCCTTGCCCCCCCGTGGGGTGGCTCGTTTTATCCCTTGGGAAAGAAAACCCCCAAATCTCTCCCGCTGCACAAGCACGACCCCGAGACGAGCTGCTGGGGGGCTGCGGGGCTGCAGCTGGGGGGTGCCCACGTGCCAAGGGAGACTTTTCGGGGCCGCCAGGAGCCACAGGGCCTTTCCTTGCCCCCTTGGGTGCAAACTCCCCTCCTGCTCCTCCGCTGCCCGTTTCCACCCACACCTCCGGCTCGGCTTCGGGGGACGGCGGCTCCGACACCCACTCGGTGAGCACAATCTGTGGGAGGGAGAAAGCCCGGCTCCCCGGGACTGCCAGGGCCAGCGGCTCCTAGGTAGAGAATTCAGACAGATTAGGAGCCAGAGGGGGCAGCAGGAGCTGCAGGGGGGCCACTGAGTGTCCCCACACACCACCAGGGTCCTGCGGTGCCGGTGCCTCCGGGCATCGCTGCAGGGAGGTGTTTGGGCAGGGAGGGGATGCTCATCGAGCCTCCTGCCCAGCCCTGGTGCCCCACCAGCACCCCCAGCACAGACTGGGACTGGTTTTATTGTGCTCAAGGCAAGCTGGGCCTGGGAGATTTTGGCAATGAGTCGCCCGGGGTTTAACCGGCAAAACCACATCGGTGTCGCTGCACCTCCCGAACGCCTTTGGAAACCCGACTGCCACCGTCCAGCTTGGATTTCTCCACGCTGGTGTAAACTGGCACAGCACTGGTGCCAAGAGCAGAGCCCAGCTCCTGGCAGAGCTTCAGCAGGGGATGAGCCATCACAAACGAGCTGCCGAGGGGCAACCGGCCTTTAAAACCCTGAGTAGTAAGAAGTCAGCTGGAAAACGCTGCTCCTCCTCCCCCACCTCCCTGTGCCCATCCCCAGGGAGATCCAACGAGCTGTGCAGTGCCCGAGGAGCCAGAGCCAGCTGTGCCCTCCACAGAGCCGAGGGCAGGTGAGCTGGAGAGGTGCCCTGGCAGAAGAAGTGCCCCTGGGGCAGAGAAGGAGGGAAACCCCCCTGGTGGGATGGCCACGGAGCTCTGGGGCTGGAGCTGGACACGCCTGACCTCTGAAGAGGGGTCCTTGCACACAGGGACAGAGGGACAACTCAGCCCTGGTGTCCCAGGAGGAGGGAGGGACCCAGCAGGGTCCCTGCAAGGTGCCCAGACCCCCCAGCAGCAGGTGAGGCAGAGCTCCCCTCACTCGGTGCCTCCTGGCATCAGCAGGACCCTCTGCCCTGCTCTTTGCCCCCTTGTTCCCCCGCTCTGGGCATCCCCTACTCCATCCCATCCACTCTCCAGGCACTTTCCTCCTGCTCTCCCCACCCTGGAGCCCAGGACAGAGGGCAGGAAGGTTTGGAGAGAGGCAGGGCCAGGCCCAGGCAGAGCCCAGCCCTTCACCTCCCACCCTCATCATGCACAGCCGGGGGGGTCTCCCATGCATCGCCCACCAGTGACACCCCCTGAGCACCCAGTGCAGGGTGAGAGCAGCCAGCCCTCCCTGTGCCATGCCCAGAGAGGTGCTGGGGTGGCCCCTTCCTTCCTCCCACCCCGACCTGGCCCTCACAGGAACCACGAGGCCGCCGGGTGGGTCAGTGCTGGGTCCTGAGCCGTGTCAGTGCCGGCCACGCAGAGACGGTGAGCGAGGGGTGTGGAGAGAAGCCATTAGTTTGTTAAACCAGAGGAAGAAGCAGAAGTGAGTTAAAGAGAGGCAGGAGAGCAGGTGGTGAAGGTGCAGCCCCGTTACCTTCCATCCTTGGGCTGCAATGGAGGCTCCGTTGGGCCACAGCTCTGCCAGCCCAGGGCAGACGGCCACGAGCGGCTCGTGGTGGAGCTTGGGGAGGAAAGGGGAGGCAGAGCTTCTCTGAAACACCTGGGGAGTCAAACACGGGGGTTGGAGGAGGGAGGCCTGGGGTAAGGAGGACGCAGCCCGTGCCTGCAGGGACGGTCACACCACGACTGGGGCTTGGCAGCGAGCAAAAGAAGCTTTGGCTGTTATCAGATGCAGAGGCAGCCTCGTCCCCTCTGCTGCTGGCAGAGTCACTGCTC